GATTATCAGCGTGGGTAGAATTATTAAAATAGAATTATTTTAATGATGTTACCGAGATATTATTCGTTATTTAAGTGAAAAAGTCAACATGCCAGAACTCAGTGCTTCTAAAAATGTTCCTTTTCGCCGGATTATAACTTAGTTGCATCTATTAGTCCAGTTTCAGCGTAGTAAAACACAAACGCTCATTTCTCAAGAACCATTCTTAAAAAACCAAAAAAAAAAACGGTCCTTAAGACATAAAGGGAAAAGATAACAGCAACGAATTGAAATTGGCTTACATCCTGATCATATTCCCATCTGTTGCATTCAATAAGTTTTGCAGTTTCATTTCGTACTGCTTCCACTGCAACATCCAATGGCATACGGCGTAATTCGGCGAATCGTTCCAGGCCACGATCATAGTAATGACACTGGAATCAAATATTTTCCATTTCTATTAAGGTGTCAAATTTGAGCTCATCGACCATCTCATCGTAATTCAGAAACGACTATTTTCAACACATTCCAACCGCCCGAAGAAAACTGCCTCTGTTATGAGGACCGATGAGTTGATAATCTTTCGAAGGTCAGAATTGGCAACACGCAAAATCATACAGCCATTTAGCATAGAGACAAGGGTAGGCGTTCAGAAATTATCACAGTAATATTTGGAAAGAATACTTAACTAAGTAAGTGTTGTTCGAAGACAGAACCACAAAAGCAAACTTTCATTTAAGTTAATGAGCTGAAATTCATCAGAAAATTTCAAGATTATTATTAATCGTGGGAATTACCTGATCATGGAACTCACGTATTCCTCGTTGCGGATTTGCTGTTTTCGGAAAAATAATCGATGTGCCCATTGCATCCGCTCGAGACCACTTGAAACCGTTCTCCCCCGATGCGGATTCATTGAAACCAGGTACCTGAAATAATCTCACTGATAATAAACAAAAAATTTCTTTCATGCAGCTAATAATAATCTTCCAGTCTTCTTTTTTGGCTTTTTTCCATGCGTAAATTTCGACAGTATTTAAGCATTCACATCGACATGCATGCCTATTTAGTGCTCTGGCAATCCCGGCTTCTTCACATGCATTAGTTTCTATTGCCTTTACCACATTCACACCGACAAGCATGAGTCAAAAACAAACAACTACTTCTTCATAAGCACTGATTTCCTAAATTCCTTTGCCCTTTCAAAGCGAAACTCACGTTTCACACAATAAATCAAAGTAGTAACGAACCTCACACCAATGAT